AGAAACAGTATCTTAAATCAGTTAATTTATAATATTTATGCTCTGTAAATTTACATTGAGCACTATTTCGTAAAAATAAAAACGTCAATAAGAACTTATTATACCTCTTACTGTTCTTTCTTTTTATTATAATATATATATATATATATATATATATATATACAGTAGCGTCCAAAACTAAGGGACAAAATTTTAAAACCTAATATTTGTTAGAAATAACAACTGTGAAAAGCTGAAATTTTGACAACTGGTAGTCGTTATCATCCATAATAACATACTAAAATTTGAATCATTTGCAAAGGATAGAAAAAGAATTTTAACAATTATTTATTTATTTTCAAATTTGGAACGTCCAAAAGTAAGGACAAAATTGAGAAAAACAATGTAAACAACAAAAAAAACAATAAAAATACATGTACAATCAATATTTAGTAAATGAGCCCTTCTCAATAACAGCTGCACATCTTCGACTACAAGAATGAATCCTTGACAATCTTCGATACTAATTTTAGACCATTCTTCTTGAAGCTTCACCCAAATCCTCCGTGTTAGTGGGATTTCTTTCCATAACTTTCACTCCTAAATCTTCCAAAGATTTTCTATTGGATTTTAGTCAGGACTTTGCGGTGGCCAATCCATAATTTCAAATCTTGCTCGCTAAGGTAACTCATTACCACCTTTTGCCTTGTGACATGGGGCATTATCTTGCATAAAGGTAGCCCTATCGAAACCTGAATTCTGTATGATTGGCACAACATGATCTTGAACAATGTTTTTATAGATCTGTGCGTTTACACGAGCTTGTAACCGAACAAGAGGCATTGTACCTTGGCTAGAAAACATTCCAAATACCATGTCGCTTCCGCCAAACTTGACAGTTTTCTTAGTACACTTTGCACTCTTTCACCAATATGTCTCTTTACATTGTTTTTTCCATCATTTCCAAATAAATTAAACTTGCTTTCATCACTGAAAAAATACTTTTGCCCAATTTTCATATGTCCAAATTACATACCTGTTTGCAAACTCTAATCTCTTCTTCTTATTCTTCGAACTAACAAGTGGTTTCTTCCTGGGGTTCGATTAAACAGCCCTATTTCTTGCAGTCGTCTACAAACAGTCTGTCTTGACACATTAACACATGAGGTACTATTCATAACCCTTTTTAATTTCTGTGCAAGACTTTTACGGTCTTTTAATGACATACGCTGCATTATTCGATCTTCTCTTGCCGAAGTTTTTGCAGGGGTCTGCCGGTTTAAAAGCACTAACTATTTTGCCAGTATCATTGTAGGATTTAACAACCCTGCCTACAACACTCTTGGAACGTTTCACTTTCTCTGAAATCTCTCTAATGGTGTGCTTTTTCCTTGTGTAGCTTCACAATAGCTTGTCTCACAGAGTAATCAAGTTTTTGGCGTTTCGCCATGGTGCCGGCTGATGCAACGTTTACAAATGACTAAGTAAAAGACTTATTCTTTAGAGGAAATCAAAAATTTGAATATAGCATACTGTTTACATTGTTTTTCTCAATTTTGTCCCCTACTTTTGGACGATCCTAATTTGAAAATAAATAAATAATTGTTACAATTCTTTTTCTATCCTTTGCAAATGATTCAAATTTTAGTATGTTATTATGGATGATAACGACTACCAGTTGTCAAAATTTCAGCTTTTCACAAATATTAGGTTTTAAAATTTTGTCCCATAGTTTTGGACGCTACTGTATATATATATATATATTATGAAATGGACAAAGTCTGATAATTATTTTAAGACATTTTTTTATGTTTATATAAAAAGAATGTATAAACATAAAAAAAAATGTCTTAAAATAATTGTCAGATTTTGTCCATTTCATAATGTGTGACGTCATTTGTTTACATTTGGATACGCATCGAGCAGATATGAATGTACGAGATAACACCATGGAGAATTGTAGTTTAAAAACGGTAAAATCGACCTTGCTAACCGAAACGCCTGGCTCAATCGGTAAAGCACGCCAGGCTCTATGACGGTACTGTATAGGATACAGGTACGTTTCCTGTCAGAGGACGCATATTTTCCATAAAGATTTCTCGAACATTCAGGCCGGTAAATGTCATTAATGCTGTTTATTATAAACATAGCATTTACTTAAATATTTGTATCTATAAAAAGAACGGATAAACATAAAAATTGTCTTAAAATATATAGTGAAATTTTAATATTGCTCTTTCGAAAATGTATGGATTGAACTCTAATTTTGATATCATCTATAATACAGTTACATCCAGGATCTTACAGCATATCTGCTTCATTCAGAAAATTAAAACTAACGTAATATAGAATGATTTAAAAAAAAAACAATAGCGATAAAGAAAAGAGAGTGTTATGCGTCCTGCTACCTCTAATGGTTTCGTTATCATCAAAGAGAGGGAGCTTCTCCGATGGCGCGTTGGATAGATGCCATCGCTTCCGGTTAAGTGGACACAAGTTAGCGAGTGGTCGCTGGGCTTCA